AATACAAGTTTGGTTGGCCTTAGTTGTCAACATGGGAGATAAATCCTTGGCCTTAACAGAGCGGTTAGGAGACATGTTACGATGAATATATACTCCAGAAGGGTCTGAAGCTGATTCAGAGATTTAGTTGGTTGTTGAATGTGAATTTTGAAGGGTTTGAAGACCAAGCCGTTTTTCTGATTCAAGCCATAAAGGGCAATAGAGGCGATAAGAGGAGTATTAAGACATTGAAGTCATAGGGTAAGAATCAGGGAGGGGATAGGGTCAGGGAACTAAGAAAACTTCATAGTTCTCTCGACTATGAAAATGAGGGAGAGAAGGAGTGGGGCCAAAAGTAGGCTGACTAACTGAATCACTATGTAAGTAAGGTTGTCTCTTGGAATTTAGGGGGTTAGAAAAAGTTACCAAATGGGACATCCTTAAAGGTTACTTAATCAAATGGAAACTGGAAGCGGTTTGCTCTATGAATCCAAAATGGAGGTTTTTTCCAACATGATGACCTATTTGGAACTTGAGGGAGGTAGTTTGGAGGGATCTTCTGATTGTTGGGACATTTAAGGGTATTATAGTTATGTGGGAAGTGAGCAAAATGGAGGAGTTGACTGGTATAAAGGTGTTTCCTCAGTTGCATGCGTTTTATGGTGGAGGTTGTATGGGTGTTATTAGGTGTTTACTAGAGTCTATAACAAAAGGCATAGTAGGTAAATGGAGGCTTTATGGAAGTATCTTGTGGAGGTACAATACAGGTGGGACTTCCCTTGGATAATTGGGGGTGATTTCGGCATGGTCTTTAGTGCGCATGAATGCTCAGGGAAAAATCCCTCTCGGGCTTGCTTGGAAGAATTCAAGGACATATTAGACAAATTCAACCTCTTGGACCTCCCACCATTTGTTGGTAAATGGACCTGGGTCCAAGTCAAGAGAAATGCCAAGTTTTTCAAAGATCAACATTTTTTTATTGGTTTCGCTTGTTTTGGATCTCAGCCTCTAAAGCCGTTGCAAAAACTATCAATGCATGCCGTTTCAAACAATTTTCCTTTTATGTTTGGTGCCATTAGAATTATATCGGGAACTTTACCCATTCA